GCTTAGTGTTTAGGGTCTAGGGTTTAGGTTGGGATCTCTTGGGTGAGATAGCTCTGATCCTGCACCCAGGATTTTGAGTTCACCTGACAGCCTTTTTCCTTAGAAGAAGGCTTGAACATCCTGGCACGCCCCTGTTCCTGAATGCTCGCATCGCAGGGCACCTTCAGCACCGTGTGAGTCGATGCAGAAGGCGAGATGTGCTTGCGGAGGCGCTGCTTGCAGATCGTGATTTCTCGGAAGTCGCATGCAACTGAAGAGCGCTTGGTCTGCAAGCTGTCACTCGCAGCACGATTTATGTACAGAAGTTGAGTGGAGGCAGGGCTGCCACACATCGTTTTGAGGAGCCTTCGTTCTGGCATAGGACAAGTCCAAGATAGCCGGGGGACTGCCAAGGGCAAGCTGCTTCTTTACTTGTCACGCGACTTCTGCAGGCGTCTTGTTTGTAGCAAGCGCGTTGCCTGGTTTGGCTTGTACCTGCAGCGAGAGAGAGAGTTCTGGCTCCAGAGCTGCAGCAGTTTGCGCGATGGAGGTGAGGAGACGGCGAAGCTGGGCCGACATTACAGATGGTGATGCCGAGGAGGACATGACGGAGGTGGTCGTCCAAGCAGAGCGAAATGATGACCAGGAGAAGATGTGACTCATAAGCCCTTCATACTCCATATATGTCCTCGGCCGCCAATCGTCAATGAACACCTCATATCGCCTGCGGCGATGGTCTCCGCGTGGCCATGCTCACAGCGCTACAGGCAACCAGCCTCGCCCGCATGGCCCTTGGTGGCCCTCTACGCTCTGGGCAGAACCTCTATCTCTCGTGTGGAGAACTCTGGCTGCGCCGGGAAGTTAGCAACGTCGACTCGGAACATGCAGAGGGCAAGGCCCCAAAGAAATCTAGATTTGATCCGCGACATCTCATGGTGAACTCCTATATTTCCCACATAAAGCCCAAGGAACCTGAATGGCATCCAAGGTTGAGATCTCTCTGTCTGCACATGCATGGAAGAAGGAAGATGAGGCCAAAATGAAAGGACTGGGGAAGTTCTACTTGATTCTTGTAGCAGCTAAGGCCTTCTGCATCGTGCAGGCACAGCTTTTTCCACGGTGAGCTCCATGTAGGACAGACATGCCGAATTTGAATTCTCATCCCTGTGTTATGCTTCAGATTTCTGGCAAAAACAGCCCAACTGGTCCACTGATTTTGCGAGATAGACGACCCGGCTGGATAACATGCTGTGTCCAAAAAGGCGTGGAGTCTAGACGGTTCCCAGGATCCAGAATGAAGCATATTTCGGCTGAGCCAGAATCCCTGACGGCGACATTTCAACCATGGGACACACGGACAGCTCAAGAATCTCTGAAAGACTTCCAGTGAACTTGAACATCACTCCGATGCATCATTCATCGTCCGCGCCAGTATTTGAAAGAGATGCCATGCGACGTAAATGCCCCAGCATCCCCACCAACACCCATCATGAACACCATGATGCCCTTCATGCGCCTTCTTCCTCTAAACCCTAAAATCTAAAGTGATGGTGCAGTGGATCTTGGCAGTTGTGAAGCAGCCTCTACTTGTAACTTCTTACAGATTTCTTGAGGACCGAGTGCGGCAACCGCCGTCGACGAGGCCTGCTCACGCCAAAAAATTGTGAAGCACCTCTGGCCTGCTTTGGGGGGGATTTTGGGATTTCTGGGTTCTGTGCAGGCTTCGTGGTTGCATGTGGACATGAACCTTACGTATTCCTTATGGTGAGCAGCTCTTGGGCCCAAAATTTTTGCGGCAGTTTGAGTTTCTGGTCCACAGCCCAAGAGGCGAGTTTTGTTTGCATTCAATCCAAGCGGAGCTCAGGCAACTGGAAGAGAGAGGGCACGAAGTGGTCAAGCAGGTGACGCGAAGTAAATCAGGCGTTCAGCGCTTTCAGATTGATGCACAGTTCCGCAATCCCTTAAGTCTTGATCAGCCACAAAGCAGACAGCCACAAATGCATTGGCTGAGAATCAGCCCTTTTTGAGATTCCGTCGGCGAGCTGGAATGCTACACAGCACGAGCTCCGAAAACAGCTGCAAGAGTCAGCATGTGCACGGAAAGAATTGCGGCAAGATGTAGATTGAGCATGGTGTAGCATGTCCCCATCGGCTACCGCGGTGCGCCCTGAAGGTTTTGTATGGAATGAAAGACATCGTAAAAGCGATTGGCGAATGAGCACCTACCATCTTTTGCTACATTATGAATGAACGCGCGGCCCCCGACCAGCATTGAGACTTTGAAACCCCATGTGCGCCTTAAGCTGCCAATGCGATGATAGTGGTGCACGCCAATGAAGTCGCATGACAATTGCTGTTTTACAACCTACGAACTTTGGTTTGTCAAGTTGTTGGGATTGGCGGTATCGTGCATACAACTATGATGATGCGCTTTTTGTAAGGACAGCATGGTAATTATCTGGTACCCGTAAGCAGAGGAACATGATCAAATCGTTCATGTGTTGTAGTTTCTTGCAACCTTATTGTTGCCATGCATTGCAGGAAAATGTAGTTACATGTGGCATCCACGCAAATTCGCGGACCTAGTTGACGCGCTCGCTGCACTCGAGCCAGAAGTGGTGTTGCAACCGGGCAATGGCCACGCAGGCCAGCTTTGAGAGGCGCGCATGTTTGATGTTGGACCTGGTGTGGAACAAAAGACCATTCAGACAGTCGAAAGCAGAGTCATGCATTGGTTGCATGAAGTTCTTTGGTGCTTCGAAGGAACATGGACGATAAAGTCGGATGTTGGCAGGCACAAACGGCAAGCGGCTGATCATGAACGGAGAGTCCACGACCTGCTGAACAAGGCAGTTGTCCCCAAATCATGCATCACCCCGTTTGGGTTGTTTCTGGTTGGATGTTGCGCGAAATGTTTTTGATTAGATCCGTCGGTGCTTCAGCTCAAGCCTGAACCGCAAACTTTAACTGCCGCTAAACCCTAAACTGTAAGCCCTAAACTGACTGTAGATCTCGATCTTTATACCTCCAATCTGACAAGGCAGAGCCCAAAGGAGCTTTCGGGCAGGATGTTCGAGGTGCCTGCCGGACAATTCAACATGATGTAGTTCAATATATTGTAAGATACAATAAGATAACAGTATACTGTATACAGATGACATTTTACGGTGTGTGGTATATGGTAAAAGTATAGGGTATCGGGTAACGGGTATAGGGTATACAGTACATAGTATACATTATACAGTACACGGTAGGCAGTATGCAGTGTCTCGTATACAGTACATAGTACATAGTAACTGGACAGTGTATAGTGTATAGTACGCCGGATATAGTATATAGTATATAGTATATAGTATATAGTATATAGTATATAGTATATAGTATATAGTATATAGTATATAGTATATAGTATATAGTATACAGTATACAGTATATAGTATATAGTATATAGTATATAGGATATAGTATATTGTGTACAGTATATAGTATATAGTATGTCGTATAAAGTATATAGCATGGAGTATATAGTATAGAGTATACAGTATTTTGTAAAAAGTTTATAGTTTATACTATATATATATATATTACACACGATATGCTAAACACAATATGTATATATATAAATCTATTACTACATACTGCATACTAGTTACTATATAGCATGTAGTACATACTTTAAAATACAGAGTCTACAGCATAGAGTTTATAGTATATGGTATATGGTAAATAGTTTATACTATACATTCTCTACCATATGTTGTTTTTAAGAAGTATTTACTTGATACTATACTATATACTACAAACAAAAACCTGTATACTATGCTGTATACGGAAATAGTACATAGTAGAAAGTAGCCGGTTGTATGTAGTGTATAGTATGGCATTGAGTATAAAGTCTGCAACATATGTGTATGTTCATATGTACATATATATATATATTATACTACATGCTTGGTGTCAGCAAGCATGTGATGCGATTGAGGTTGTGATAATGGAACACAGCGGTGGCATCCAATTACCAACATGCACCCATGCCAGGTTTGGGATTATGTTTTCGGGTTCGGTTTGGGATAGTTAGGTCCCCGGCGACCCTAAACCTTAAACCCCCGAACCCTAAACCTTGAAACCCTAGACCCTAAACAGTTCGTGGAATACGTCACTCTTGACGGTTTAGGGTCTAGGGTCCTGGAGCTCCCTGAGCCCTGAACCTCAGCGTTAGAATATCACATGACATAGTGTATTAGAGCACAGGCAAGTTTAGAAGAATAGTGTTGGTTAAGTATACTGATCTCACGATCATAGTAATACAAATGTTAACACTAGTAGATAACGCAAGGACAACAATACTAATAATGACCAATGCTGGTAGCAGTAAAAAATAGCTGTCTATGCATATCATTTGCCTAGACAGCCTCGACGGTGACCCTTCGACGTGACAGAAAGATAAAACTCAGGAGCCTGAGCTTCACATTTCAACCTCACAGCTTCGAACCTCAACGATCTTCCAAAGTGTGCAGTTTTTGTGGTTTTTAGCCTCGTGTGCAGTGTTTGTAGCATGGCCATGTCAGAACGGGTTATGGTAACATTGGCCCAAGGTTTACCAACCGGAATAAGAGCGACCCGTGACAATCTGATAATCATGATGTATCAAGAAATGGCAACAAGATTCAACAAGACCCCTTGCAGAGACACAGAAACGATCTTGTTGAGCCCTCGGCAGCTTTCTTCCGAATCTGTGGAGTAAAACCTCAGGAAGCCCCTAGAGCGACCCTGAATCCTAAACCCCACACCCCAAGCACTGCACCCTCTACCGCCTAAAGCATCATCACAAAAACCCTCAGCCTTCAACCCGGAACCTCAACCTACCAAAAAAAAAAGCCTGAACCGTGAGGTCAAGCCAAAGGTGCTTCCACGAGCAAGGCCGAGAAACGGAGAGGAAGCGAACAGAATGTAGTGTAGACCTCTGATCGCGAAGCCCATCTCCTGTAAAAAGGGTTAAAGTACTGTGCAGTTCACAAATTTAGAGTGTAGAACGTTCTCGATGTGCTCTTTTGTGCGGCCAGCAATCGTAGCTGTAATGATGGTCGTCAGGATCATACACCGAGTTTGATATTCAAGCAATAGTCAGACAAAGCATGTATGCATGTATAGACATGTACACATATACATACAGAAGCATCTACATACACATGCATGCATATTGACACACATGAAGCGTTTGCTTTTTGAGTGGGCGGCACTCACGATATGTATTGGAGCTCAGTTTGTGAAGGTCCGTGCAGCCGCTGGCCAGCAGCGTCTTGCAATCCGTGAGTACAAGGAGGTCGGGACAAACGTGGAGGTTACCTTAAACCCTAAACCCTAAACCGTAATCCCCAAATTATGAAGCTGGAAGCCCGAAGTGTCGATGAGCACATGTCCCTGTGGCTGTTGGAATGTCGTACGGGATATATGGGAGCTTCTAAACGTAGTACCGGGTCACTGTCCGGGGGAGACCCTAAACCCTAAACCCTAAACCCCTCATATTCCAGGATTTCTGTCTCTGGGGTTTTTCTCGGGGCCCCGTCTTGACTGAAACGTACATGTGTTCGCACTCGTTCTTGCAGGCGATATTGTGATTGTGAGCGGCAGTTGCTGTTTTGTTGACATTAATCATGAAATGCATCACCATGGACCATGAACAACATCAAAGCAGCCTGTTATTGCGTTCAGAGCGCCAATGTCTTTCCACCCTAAGGATCTAGTGCACGAGAAACGACGGTAGGAATTGCGATAGTGATAGACCGATTGCCAGTAAGACGAATCGAACCACTTTGCACAATCAACTTGAGCTATGTGGTCACGATATCTCACCAACACGATCATCATGTCCATGAGAATCACTTTCACCACCAGCATGGCCGCTGTCACGATCATCATCAGCCTCATCATCGCGATCACCATCCTGTTTTTCTTCCTATTGTACACCACATCGCCATCTGCACAGCCACTCATGATTGGAAACATCGTCATCATCATCATCATCATCACCACCACCATCATCATCATCACCACCACCATCACCATCACCATCACCATCATCATCACCACCATCATAATCATCATCATGTTCATCGGTATTGTCATCATTAACATCATCGCCCCGCACCGACTTCGGCATCACCACTATGGTTGCCTGCGACACCAGCGCCACCGGCACCGCCGCCGTCATTCCTATCATGATTGCCATTACCAGCATCTCCAACCCCAAACCCTAAACCCTAAACCCTAAACCCTAAACCCTAAACCCTAATCTCCACGTAGCATTAGCAACAGCTCAGTGAAGGTAGCATCAACAGCCGCGGCAGCAGAACAGTTCCACCGCAAGCAAGAGTAACAGATCAAGCTACAAGCACATAAGCCGACAGTAGAGGCAGCAACATCAACGTTAACACCAGTATCAGCATTAGCAGGTACAGCAAAATGGAGGTGGATTCAGGTAAGCAAGGCAAGTACATACTGATATTCGCAAGATGGAGATCAAGAATCAACACGGCACCATCACAAAAGTGTTGATTTTGCCTGTAAGACTTGGCACATTTGCTTGACGGAGCTTTGGCAGGCATCACGATTGCGCCCTCGAGACGTCGAAACCAAGGACGCGGCTGGCTCGTGATTTGGTACTTATATCAATTGGCTTGTTGACGGGGCTTGTGGTTCTCAGTTTAGGGGGGCCGAGGGGACATCATCCTAAACCCTAAATCCCTAAACCCTAAACCCTAAACCCTAAATCCCTAAACCTAGTCTGGGACTCGATTGACACCTGACAAACGCGCCCCCAGGCTTCAAGTCGTCCGAGACGTGGTAAGATTCTCCATCTAGTATATTCGCCCAAACCCGCTTAGCTGCCTCACTGTGAAATTTCTACAATCTGCCATAATGTATGCTCGAATATACCATAGTATACTAGAATTCAGCATGACCTCTGCTGCAGGATCGCCTCAGATCCGCGTGCAAAGTCCTGAAGCAGCTGCAGGCGGCATCTCGA